CTTTTTGTGGCTTACAGAGTGTTTTTCTTGTGGTAAATATGTCAAACTTGGAAATTATATTATTCAGGCCTTCTATGTCCTTATTTTTTATCGCATCAATCTATAAAATTCTGTGCAATCCATGAAAACTCTTCAATACCAGGCCAGCCTGTAGTGCGGTAGTTCCTATGTATAGGAAGTTGGATTCCACATGGCCGGCAGTGATTCAAATTTTGGCCCTGTCAGCTTGACAAACATGCCAGGAGCACAGGTGTGTATGCCCAAAATCCTAACTGGAAGGAGAAATGAAGGACAAAGGACTGTGGCATGACTGCTCCATTGTGTGTGTGTCTGGGTGGGGGTGCTCGTTTTCTCTCTCATTCTCTCTCTGGCAAGAATGTTCTCAGGGACCAGCAGATGGCGTAATGGTTACATCACTGGACTCTCACATAGTCAACTGCAGTTCAAGTCCCGGGCTTGGTGGCTTAAAACTCACACAGGGCACATGTGCAAGCATGCCTAAAATTCTGAGAGAGGAGAATGGAGAAGGGATTGTGGTGTGGTCAAACCCCCTGGGGGGATGATTTCTTGCTTTCTGTCTCTCCAGCGAACATACTCATCCTATAGCAAAAATCTCTCTAAAAAACAAGAGTGTTCTTTGATATTTAAAATAAAACTTTCTGGGACCATCAGGTGGCGTGGTGGTTAAGACATTGGACTCTCACATGACTGACTGTGGTTCAAGTCCTAAACCGGATGGCTTGAAAATCATGCTGGCTGTGCATACTATGTGCCCAAAATCCCAGGAGGAAATTGCAGGAGAGGGGATTGCAGCATGGTCATCTGCCCTGGGAGGTGATTTCTCACTTTCTCTCTCACTGTATCTCTCTATCTCTCTCCAGCAAGCACCTGTGTGCCCTATGGCAAAAACCTAAGAAAAAAAATTCAATATCAATTTCACTCATCAAGTCCTTATGAGTTTCATATTTTTGCAGAGTTTTTCCCGAGACTAGTATTTTACATGCAAAGGCCCAAGACTATGATACCTTAATTTGGGACATTTTAGTAATAAAAATATTTTTCCCCTATTTACTATTTTTAGCCTTTTAAACAGTTCTCATTTATTTATTTACTGAGAGAGAGAGAGAGAGAAAGCATTATCCTTGGTATAGTCTGGCCACAGCCCCATCCTTCCCCCAGCCTCCCACCAGCCAAGCTCATAGTCAAAGATGGGCATGGCCAGTATGCTCAGGGTGACCTGGGATCCAAACCTGGGCCTCCCTTATGGCTCTGGGGCACCACTACAACTGGACCAGTTTGTATTTTCCATATTTGTTCTTCTCTCAGTCTGTTTACACAGTATTTAAAATTTATCTGCTAGATCCTTGTGTCCTAAGTGGCAAAGTATCAACTTTCTGTTTTGTTTTATTTTAGACATATCTAAATTTTGCCTTTTGAAACACCCTAAGTTACTTAGTCTTTGGCTAGGGAAGCTTCACCCACTTATTTTTTGGCTGTACCCTGATAAGTGGTGTGTTTAGTCATATTCTTGTTATCTGTTACATTTTTCATATTGCTAGGATTTCCTGTTTTGTTCTTTTTTTTTTTCAATGTGTTGATTCAGGAATATTTATTCCTTTTGTTTGTTCAGAATTTTCCAAATTAAATATTCAACTTACATTTTCCAATAGTTACCTTTTAGTTAGTTTTTAAAAAATGCAACACAAAAATGACTTTGATCTTATACTTTACTAATATTGTTAAAAAAAAAAAAAAAAAAAAGAAAAAGAAAAAAGAAAAAGAAAAATGTGGTTTTTATGGAATGGGTTTTGGAGGAGAAAGACAGATTTTGTATGTCTCTTCCTCCTCCCACCTTCCCAGATTAAATCTGGTTGCCCTGTAACTGGCGAGATGGCCACGGAAGTTTGAATTTGCCCTTTAGGGAGTAAAATTAGTTCAGTGTGGCTTTGTCTGTGCCTTGGAGATCTCATTTAAGAAAGAGAAAGAGTGAGCTCAGTGCATCGTGTAAAAGACTATGATTTGGAAGGGAGGGTTAGGTGAGCACGTTGGAATACTGTGTTCCTTCTAGAACTATTTTGTTCTTTGCATCGACTTAGGTTTGGTCTATGTTTTTATTTGTTTGTAGAAGTTTTTATGGGATGAGCATGTAAGTATGTGTTTGTGGCATGGATGATATACACTAGGTGTTTGGAATGCATGCTTTGTGGCCTGTACGTGGTTTATCTACATATGTGGTATGTGTATGCCATGATTGTGTAGGTGTGTGGTGTGTTTGTGATATATGTGTCTATGCACATGGTATGTGTGTGTCTGTTATGGGTTCAGTGCATCTGTGTGTGTGAGTTGTGTGTAATTATATGTAACATGTAAGTATATGATGGAGCATCTGCCTATGATGTGTGAATGATGTGTCTACTGTGGTGCATTAGGCATGTATGTATATATGTATTATACGTGGTTTGTATGTGATAGCCATGTGTATAAATAGCATATATGATATGGTGCATATGGTGTGGTATGTGTGTGTGATGTGTGTGTGGAGTAGTGTGTGTGTATGATTTGGTGTGTGCACACATATTATTTGGCGTGTATATGATCTTGTGTATGTAGAGTGTCTGGTATAACATGCAGCAGCATGCATTATGTGCTATGGTGTAGGCACATTGTGGGTGGTGACATGGTATATGTTTGTATGTGACAGAATTCCCAGAGACCACACGAGATGCAGCTCTGAGAACATAGCCGACCCAGTGGGATGGCACGCAGGGACTTCCTGGCTGCCTGTGGTCCTCAGCAGAGCACGACTGACTTAGGAGTTTATTTTAGTTTGCTGTGAAGAGTCAGCTGCCCTACAATGCAAGCTTGTGCTGGCAAAAACGAAGCAGGTTGGGCTTACTTACAAATGTCTTGATCATATGTGCACATCCGACGTTTCACAACTGCTCCTGCTTGGTCGGAGGGATGGCAGGAAGCTGGGAGCAAACGCCAAGCCTGTGTCACCTGTCTTCGAGTTGCACATGAGGCCTGAAGATGCTTCTCCTGTTAGAGTCACCTCTGGGTGACAGATGCCTTCCCCACATCACAGGACAGAGTAGCATGTGTGTCCTTACACACAAACACACATGCACACTCACACCCTTGCAAGGACTCACAACAAATACAGATTAAGAAGAAATAGGAAAGATTTGAAAAGTGTGACTTACATGTGGAAATGTATATAATTTAGAATATATATATATCTTTACTTTTACATTATTATGTTTGTGTTATGATAACATATATATAAGATGTGTATCTATCTACTTATCTGTCTGTATATGTGAGATTTCAAAAGCTCATGGAAAATTGAATTAAAGTATATGAGTTCATTTTCGTGTAAAAACATTTTTAAATTCATGCATAGTTTTTTCCATAATACTCATCTCCATGAACCTTTTGAAAGACCTTCCACATATTTTAAGTAAAATATAATATAACACTATACATATATTATAGTGGGGCCGGTAGGTGGCGGGATAGCTAAGGACACTGGACTCCCACATGGTTGACTGCCATTTGAGTCCTGGACCTGGCGGCTTGCTCTCTCTCTCTCTCTCTCTCTCTCTCCTTTCTCTCTCACTCTGCCCCTTGCTGGTCAAATTAAAATAAAGTTAAATAAAATATTTCTTTAAAAAATGATAGTAAGTAGTGGCATCCAGACTGAAACTCATTTTTTTTTCAATTTTTAATTCTTATTTCTGACAAAATAATTGTACATATTTGTGGGGTACAGTGTTGTTCTTCCATGCATGAATTCAGTATGTAATGACCAAATTAAGGTAGTTAGCATATCTGTCATCTGAAACATTTATCATTACTTTGTGTTGGGAGCATTCAAAATTTTCTTCTGTCTTGAAATACACAATAAATTATTAACTATAATGATCCTCCTGTGTCATAGAACTTCAGAACTTATTTTTGCTGCTTGTAACTTTGTATTTGTTAACTAAGACTCTCCCTATCTACCACCCCCAGCTCTCCTAATCACTAGTCACCACTATTTTACTCACTGCTTCCATGAGGTCAGTTATTATTATTATTATTATTTATTATTATTATTTTGCTTCCACCTATTAAAGGGAACATATGGCATTCCTCTTTTTATACCTGACCTACTTCACTTTATTTAATGTCCTCTAGACTCATCTCTGTTGCATCAAATAACAGGATTTCAATTTTTCATGGCTGCATAGTATTCCATTGTGTGTATATACCACACTTTATCTATCCATTCATCGTTGATGACACTTAGGTAGATTCAGTATCTTCAGACAACTCTTCAACATAATGATTTTGTTTTCCTTTAGCTATCTACCCAGTAGTGGTATTACAGGATCACATCACAGTTCTGTTTTTATTGTTTTAAGTACCCTCCACACTGTTTTCTTTAATGTCTATGCTAGTTTATATTTTCACCAAGAGTATAAAACAGTTTGTTCTTTTTCACAATTCCAGAATTCTTTTTTTTTTTTTTAAGAGATTTTCACTGTAGGGTGCGTGCGCTCGCCAGACAGATGGAGAGAGACATAGAGACAGAAAGCGAGAAATCACCCCCCAGGGGGGATGGTCACGCCGCAATCCCTTCTCCTCCATTCTCCTCTCGGGATCTTGGGCACGCACGCACACGCGCCCGGCGTGAGTTTTAAGCCACCGGGTCCGGGACACGAACCACAGTCGACTACGTGGGAGTCCAGCAACATAGCCATTACGCTAACTGCTGGTTCCCTTTTTTCTTTTTTATAATAGTCATTTAAATTGACATAAGAAGCCATTCTAATTGAGGTAAGATGATTTGCATTTCCCTGATGATTAGCAATGTTCAATGTTTTTTCTCATATACTTACTAGCCATTTGTACGTCTTTGTCATTTCTCCTTCATTCCGAAGACTCTCCTATCTCCATGGTCTTTTATAGACGAAAATACTTAAGCATTCAGGCCCAGGCACTTACCAGCCACTTACCAGCTAGGAGATTTCAGGAAAGTCACTTTCATTCTTGTGTCTCAGTTTACTCATCTGTAAAGAGGGCAAAATGAGAAGGCTTTCTACCTTTTGTGGGATTTAACTTGGTAATGCATACAAAGAACTTAGAACCATGTACGTAAAAGCACTCTGTCAATTTAGTGGTTTGCTAGTATTATCCTCTAAGACCATCAGATGATAAACTCAAATGTCCTCAGCTTCCTGCTTGTCTTCCAGAGGCCGTCAGAATCCCAGAATGTGGTCTGCATGTTGATGGACAGGCCTTAGCTCCACATCTTTACAGCTAGGCTGGGTCCTCAGAACAGCATCTTGTGTTTTAGCAGTCTGCTGCCCTCTAACTGGGTCTCTGGATATTGTTTAAAAATTGATAAGGGAGGGACCAGCTGGTGGCAGTGTTTAAGACAGCTGGACCCTGCATAGCCAACTGCATAGTTTGAGTCTCAGACCCAGCAGCTAAGGAAACACACCAGGCATGCTCACAGGCATGCCCAAAATCCCAAAAGGAGAGCTAGAAGAGCAGAACTGCAGCATGACCATCCCCATGGGGAGTGCTCTCTCACTTTCCCTCTATCTCTCTCTCTGGCAAGCACATGTGGCCTCTAGCAAATTTTGATTTTTATCTGAGAAGGTAAAGTGAGCTCCTCTAAACATTCCTCCATGGCAGGAAGACACAGGATAGTGGAGAAAAGAAAGTAAGAGAGAAGGGAACAGAACTCTGGTAGTCTTCACACCCTGGGGAAGAGGAACTGAGTGGGGAGTCATGACTGGGCAGTGCATAGCTCTTCCCTGCCTGAAATTCCAGCCTCACCTTTTCACTGAGACATATCCTAGCTACAGTCTTGTCATAGGCTGAGGGCCTGGAGGCAAGGCATCAGAGGACCTCTTCTTTCTTGGCCTCCAAAGGGCAGACATATACTCAGGTACTTTTGTCCTCAGAAGTTCATTGCAACTTATGCGAATGAACCAAACTCTTTTGGAGCCAAGTGTTATTCGCAGGAGGCCTCTGTTGGGAGAGATGGAAGGCCATTAAAATCATAGAGGAGCAAGTTACAACAGAGAGAGCTCTGGCTCCTGCTCCAACCAATCATCTGAGGCCACCACTCGGAAAATTTGAGTAACCTCCTAGTTGCTAAACCAGTGAAATGATCTCCTCCTTTTCCATTTCTCTCACTAGCAGTGCACAGCACCGTTGACTACTTCCTTCCTTCCCCCATTTCCTGTTCCCCTCCTACCTCTTTCATGTTCCACCTGGTTTTGCCTTTTTTTCTAGATTTTTAAACCCTGCTCTTCTGATGGTTCTTCCATCTTGCATCTCAGTCTGGTCTGGGAGACACAGCTCTGGCATGGGCTGCAAGGGGAGGTGCTATATCTTATATGACTTGACATTGACCCAGAGAACCATAGAAAGAGACCTCATAGCCTGGCCAACCTGGGACAGGCCCCAGGAATACGTTTGGGCCTTTGCTGAGGTGCTGTGTGCCAGGAGCTTAGGAGAATCCTGGGACAGCGTGGTCCTCCTGGCCTGGGCTCTTTGGATGCATTTAGCTGTTTCTACTGATCACTGGCAGATATTCATGAAAGAAAACAGAAACAAACACCGTCTATGCCCAGGTAGTATACACAGGCATAAACTGCAAGGCTTTACAATCTCTGTTGCTAAATTTCTAGTGGGGTGGTATACATAAAAGAGGATTTATAAGAAGGCAACTCTTAGTTGGGCTTGGGAAAATGCTATTTTGCTGTTGCTTCACCAACACCACGTTGTCCAATAACAGCCATCCCACCGTTGCCCAAAAGGACCCTCTCCAAGGTACACGTTGCCAGCCCTTGGAAGCCTCACCACTTTGCTCAGTGACATGCTTTGGGTTATATTTTTATGAGGCAGGCAGCATTCCACCCCTGTTGTTTCCAAAATCCACAGCTCAGCATTTCCCAGAAATCACTTTAATAAAAAACACATGAAAAAGAAAAAGAAAAAAAAAACCTCTTTAGCATGTGTGAAATGAAATTAAAAAGCAGTTACAAAAATACCAAGAAATCTGGAGGGTGAATCCACCATCAAGGGGATAAAGGGGAAATTCTGCCCAAAGCCTGGGTGAGATATCAATGTCTTATGAGGGACAGAGTAAGAGCCGCTTTCCAGAGAGATTGGTTATAGAGGGGAAGCAAAGAATGCCAAGAAAAATAATGCAGCTTGGTTTAATTAGCCGAGATGCATGCGTGTTTTCCTTCTGTCATGGTAGCTAACTAAAGGTTTCTGGCCTGAATCACTCAGTTCTTCCACTCTTTACTGTTCTTAGTCTCCATTCAGTTCTGAAACCCTACGGTCCCCTTAGGAAAATCCCCTAAAAATAAATGAGTCTCTAGCATCTTGATAGCCTGGTCTGCACTGGGTAACTTCCTAAGTGTTAGTCTTGGGTTTCTGAACTTCTGAACAGGCAGTCAGAAAGTCTTACATCCTATTAGTGGGGCCATAAACTGGTGCAAACTTTATGGAGGAAAATGTCATCAAATCTGTTCAAATAAAATACGCTCATACCCTTTGACCAAGATCCCACGTTTATGAATTTATAATCTAGAAACATGTTCTCAGGTACATAAAATGTATGTACATGAGATTTATCACAGACTTGTTTGCAAAAGAAAGAAAGAAAGAAAGAAAAAGAAAGAAAGAAAGAAAGAAAGAAAGAAAGAAAGAAAGAAAGAAAGAAAGAAAAAGAAAGAAAGAAAGAAAACACACAAACAAAGAAAACAAAAACCCTTTCCTTTCGAGAAGACTCCTTCGGTAAATGACGTAACCACAGAGCCCAGGACGACCATGGAATAATACACCGCCATTGAAAAGACTGAACGGATTGATTCCATGGATTGCTATGGAAGGATGCCGGTTGGATCTTCAGCAGAAAACTGAATTTCAATACAATAGGTACAGTAAACGCTATCTGTATAATATAGGCATGTGCTTATTAAGGCAATCTGAACAAATACACCTCCAAGGCAGAGCCCAGTTTGGGACTGAGAAAAGGCATGAAAGGATCACGGGGATTTCGTCTGCCATGCCCTGCAGTAATGGGGTGCGTTTGACTCCTGCAGCCCTTCCTACGAGTCCTAAGGTCCTGCCACTCAGCTTGTGCTGGGCTCATGACCAAGTCAGAATCAGCTGTGTTACTTCCCGGCCTTATCGCATCTCTTTCCTGATGAAACGAACATGCTTAAGTAAGGAGAGGGTAAAAGTGAGGGGGAAGATAATGGATTGGAGAGAGAAGATAAGCCAAATGGGTGAATAATTCACATTTGGTTTATGTCTGGATTATTTTCATAAGACTTATTACCACAAAGATTAAACAATACAGAGAAAATGGAGGGGAGGGGAGGAGACAGGAATCGGCCTGTTTATTCATCATACCGTGTATTCCAGGTCCTTGGAGGCTGGCTGAGGAGACATAGCAGCCCAAGGGTCCACAGGCCTGCTCCATGTGGTTTGGACCCAGGTGTCATTGAGAGGGCACATTCAAGACTCCACGGGTATGGAGAAGAGTCACAGCCAGACCCAGGGGGCAGTGACACCAGGGCACTCCTAAAGCAAAGCTTTTACACAGGGAGAGCCTGGGGCAAGCATGACAGCCAGGGCTGCTGGCCTAGTCAGAGTGGCAAATGGAGCATCTCAGAGAACCTGGGTGCAGACACCCCCTCCACACGTACACTGCAGAACAGCCGGCTCAAGCAGGCACAGGTGCTGGGCCGCCACCACGGATGGGACACATGCTCTCGTGACTGGCAGAACTGGGTGAGCTCACCAGTGAGCTCCAGGGGCCCCTCTAGGATATTCACTCCTTCACCTCGCCCCAGAGCTCCAGCTACTTGTAGCCACCAGCCCTCGGCCTGGCCTCACCTGTCACTGGGGATGCCTGAGCTCACCTCCTGCCCTGGCGCTGCTGACACGACAGGCCTCCTGTCTGCTCCCCAGCTCTGAGCTGGCACATCCGCACCTGGGGGCCAGGATTGTTCTAAACTCCCTCTTCACCATTCCTTTCCCCTCTGAGTTCCCGAACATTCCTTTCCTGCCATTCCTTGTTAGACCCATCACCTGATACCCTCCTGGGTGACTGCTTTCCGTGTGTGGGCTGAGGCTCAGACTCCTTTGGCGCCTTCGTTTTCAGCTAAATGTCACATTGATTAAATCAGTATTTCTCTGGGCAAAATATGTTCTCTTCAATTTGTATGAGATACATTCTTTTCTTGGACAAAAGGTAGTCATTCCACAATTTTAGACCAATTTTCAGATTTCAACACTAGCTTTGAATTCTAATCTTAACCTTAACACCAACTTTCACACCAACCCTGCCATGCCCTCTTTCTCAAGGCATCCTGCAACAAGTTACTATGTGGTAGGCACAGGGAGCGAGATAGCTTTTGTATGTGCTAGAATGCAAAATAGCAGCAGGTATAGTGTTCATTCTAAAACAAAGTTGTAAGACAGTGTGTTTAGAAAGATGCTACTGTCAGGGCAGCAGGTGGCATTGTGGTTAAAGGTGCTAGATTCCCACATGGCCAACCACAGTTTGAGTCCTAGAGCTGGTGGCTTGCTTTCTCACTTTCCCCCTCACCCCCTCTCTCTCTCTGGTCCAATTAAAATAAGCCATTCCTTGTTAGACCCATCACCTGATACCCTCCTGGGTGACTGCTTTCCGTGTGTGGGCTGAGGCTCAGACTCCTTTGGCGCCTTCGTTTTCAGCTAAATGTCACATTGATTAAATCAGTATTTCTCTGGGCAAAATATGTTCTCTTCAATTTGTATGAGATACATTCTTTTCTTGGACAAAAGGTAGTCATTCCACAATTTTAGACCAATTTTCAGATTTCAACACTAGCTTTGAATTCTAATCTTAACCTTAACACCAACTTTCACACCAACCCTGCCATGCCCTCTTTCTCAAGGCATCCTGCAACAAGTTACTATGTGGTAGGCACAGGGAGCGAGATAGCTTTTGTATGTGCTAGAATGCAAAATAGCAGCAGGTATAGTGTTCATT